TGAAGTGCTCTACCGCTGAGCTAAGGAGGCACGTTTTCAGATGTTGAGCGTGGCAAACATTGCGCATATATAGTGTTTTTGTAAGTGCCATCGATTTTTGTCTTCCTCTCACTTCATATGCTCACGCCATTGCATCGTCAACGGAGAACACCACCGACCACAACCTTGAGCTAACGCACCAGATCTACATTCCGCATAAACAAAGAAAACAAGCCGCACGGTCGAGAGGCGACTCAGAACTTGCTCTGGGGGCCGACGAGCTTGAGCTGCTGGCGCACGCCCAGGTCGATCATCACGTCCTCGCTTCCGCCGGGCACGGTGAGCGCTACAAGAGCCACCACGAACAAGGAGGAGAAGGTCAGCACACGCTCGTATCGTCAGCAGCATAGGGTATTGGGGGAGGGGGGAGCTTACCCTTGACTTCGCGCCAGATGCGCTCGATGCGTTCGCCGGTGCCGCCCTTCGTGAGGCCCATGCCTCCGAGCAGATGCACCGCCTCGCGCACCACCTTCTCGAGCACGATACCGGCGTGCGCCTTGAGCAGCGCACACGAACCACCGGTGAGCAGGTTTGACTGCGCAATCGTCATGTTGAGCTGTTGGAAGATGATGCTCTCCGTCCAGGCTTGCAGCGCCTCCACCTCGCGCGCCATGTGGCCGATTTTGTGGCGCACCACCGGCTGCTCGATCAACATCTTGCCGAACACCTCTCGTCGTCGTGTGTGCGCAATCGCATCCTCCATACACACCCTAGCGTAGCGCAAGGCTGTGTAGGCGATCGTCATGCGCTCGTGATTGAAGTTAAAGAAGACCAGCTTGAGGCCTTCTCCTTCCTTGCCGATGAGGTTCTCGACGGGGACCTTGACGTCGTCGAACTCGACGATGGTCGTGCCCGAAGCTCCGCCGGGGAGCATCTTCATCTGTTTGGTGGTGACGCCGGGTCCGCGAGGGATCATGAGCAGCGAAATGCCGCCCGACTCGCCCGCCTTGCCGGACGTGCGAACGGCAGTGGTGAACCAGTCCGAGTAGATTCCATTGGTGATCCACTTCTTGCTGCCGTTAACGAGGTAGAACTTCTTTCCATTCTCCTCGATGAGCGTCGCCTCGGTGCTAAGGTTGGCGACGTTGCTGCCGGCAAGGGGCTCGGTGATGGCAAGGCAGATTCGCTTGCGGCCCGTGAAGATCTCGGGAAGCCATCGTGCCTTCTGCTCGTCGCTGGCAAAGTGCATGATGGGCCCGGAGCCATACGTGAGGCCGCCAATCAGGCCCATCAGTACGGGGCTGGCGCAGCGGTTGAGTTCGTCCCAGATGATGTAGTCGTGGATGTTGTTCCATTCCTCCATCTTGATGCCGGCCGGGAGGCCGACCCCAGCAGCTTGGGCGATCTTGGCGATCTTGGGGTCGACGTGCACGCCCGTGGCGAAAGCAAAGAGCACACCGTCCTTGGCAGCGCGCTGGTACGCTTCGTCATCATTGATGACGCCGGCTTCCTCGTACTTGGCACCCATCTTGATCAGGACCTCGTCGCACCACACGCGGCACCATTCGCGCAATTGGACATGCGAGGGCGAGGTGAAGATCGAGGACGGCAGTCCTTGGATCCATGGCGCCTCGGAAAATGGAACGGTGGGCTTGGTGAGCTTGGCGGTACTGGACATGATTGCAGGGTGAGATTGGGTGGTGGTCGGAAACAAGGATTCGGGATGCTATCAACGAGCGCGGATTCGCGCTTGCCCTTCGACGAGCGCAAGCTTGAAATTCGTGGTTTCCCGGCTTGCCCCTGGGCCTTGGTGCGGAGAAACCCCACAGACCCTTTGCTGCGGTGTAGCCACTTTGCGAGACACCCAGACCCTCGCGAATGCTTAGCGACGTGCGCGCTTAAAGGTGGCACTACTAGCTCTCACGCTCGGCTTGACGGTTGCAGCAGGAATGCCTCGCGCCGGCTCACAACCGAAGCCGATGGACCGGTAGAAAAAATTAAAATTCTAGCCCATCAATCTTCCTTCGCCCTAACAACCATTGCAAAAAGCCTCGGAAGACGGATCCTCGTTTGCTCCACACGACCCTGATGTCTACTGACTGAGCTCGAAGTGTCACTCGTCCATCGCCTCCATCCAGCGCAGATTGCAGGACATTGGCGTCATGTCGAAGAAGCAGCCTCTCTCGGTCGCCGAGATCCTCGAGAAGCAGAAACAGGAGTCGGCACTCAAACCGCGCTTCCTCTCCAAAGCCGAGCGGGCGCAGAAGGCACAAAAGGAGAAGGAAGAGGAAGAGCGCAAGCGAGCCCTCAAGCAGCAGGAGGACCTGCGAAAGCGACAAGAGCTAGAATCCCAAGCGCGATCCGTCGCATCGTCATCAAGGCAAGCTGACAGCTCGCATGCACGTCCCTCCGAGCGTCACCACCGCGACACCAACGATCTCGATTATGGTTCCGCTGAACCAAGGCACGATTCCACTTCCCGAAGAGCGAGAGAAGCGAATGGTCGCCATCTCAACGGCAACGGCACACGCGCTGCAAATGAAGCTTCGAGAGATGCAACACCAGCGCTCAACCCCTCAGACAGCTCGAGTGCACCACTCACCGAGGCCGAGCAGGAGGCGATCCGCAGACGATACCTCGGGCTCAAAGACGACAAGAAGAAGCCGAGGCGCAAACCCACGGACAAAAAGTTCGTCTTCGACTGGGGCGAGGACGACGACACTGCAGCCGACTCGCTTGCGGTACAGATTCAATCGGCCGCCCAACACGCTGCGCCCTCGCATCTCGTCGCACCTCGCGCCAACGGCACAGGCGCGCCATCGCACGTCGACCCACTGGAAGCTTCGCTCGGACGAGCTGCCAGGCGGTTCGACGACAAGCACTGGAGCGAAAAGACGCTCGAGCAGATGAAGGAGCGCGACTGGCGCATCTTTCGCGAGGACTTTGGCATCTCGGCTCGTGGCGGCAACATCCCGCGGCCCTTGCGCTCTTGGCGCGAGTCGTCGATCCCGCCCAGCATCCTCGCCACGATCGAAGAGATCGGCTACACCGAGCCCTCACCCATCCAGCGTCAGGCCATCCCTATCGGCCTGCAGAATCGCGACCTCATCGGCATTGCCGAGACGGGTTCGGGCAAGACGGCGTCGTTCCTGATCCCCATGCTTGCGTACATCTCGCATCTGCCCAAGCTGGACGAGAATACCAAGGCGCTGGGACCGCAAGCGCTGATTCTGGTGCCGACGCGCGAGTTGGCACAGCAGATCGAAGGCGAGACGAACAAGTTTGCTCCCCGGCTGGGGCTGCGATGTGTCTCGATTGTGGGTGGACGCGATATGAACGACCAGGCATATGCGCTGCGCGATGGAGCCGAGATCATCATTGCCACACCGGGGCGACTGAAGGATTGCATCGAGCGGCACGTGCTTGTGCTGAGCCAGTGCACCTACGTCGTGATGGACGAAGCGGACAAGATGGTCGACATGGGTTTCGAACCTCAGGTCAACTTTATCCTCGACTCGTTGCCTGTCTCGAACCTAAAGCCGGACTCGAGTGTGGCGGAGGATCCGCTGCAGGACGGCGTGGGCAAGTACAGGGTTACGATGTTGTATTCCGCCACGATGCCGGCAAGTGTAGAGCGGATGGCAAGAGTGTATCTGCGACGTCCGGCGACGATCACGATTGGAAATGCCGGACAGGCAGTGGCGAGTGTAGAGCAGATCGTCGAATTCGTTGCCAACGAGGACCAGCGTCGACAGCGGTTGATTTCGATCCTCCAGCGTTCCTCCCACCTCGTACCGATTATCGTCTTTGTCAACCAAAAGAAGGCTGCCGATATGTTGTCGAGCTCACTGGTTCGGGCAGGGTTTTACGTTTCGACGTTGCACTCTGGTAAGATGCAGGAGTTGCGAGAAGAGGCGCTTGCGCATCTTCGGGACGGCACGACGCAGATCCTGGTCGCAACGGATCTGGCTGGTCGTGGTATCGACGTCCCCAACGTCGGTCTCGTCATCAACTTTGCCATGCCCAACAACATTGAGGCCTACGTTCACCGAATCGGCCGAACCGGTCGTGCGGGCAAGACCGGAACTGCAATCACTTTTGTTGACCAGGCAGACTCGGATCTCTTCTACGACCTCAAACTCGAACTCACAAAGTCCAAACTCAGCACCGTCCCTCAACAGCTGGCACGCCACCCCGCCGCTCAACATCGGCCCATCAAGGATAGCCATGCCAAACGCAAGCGCGAAGACGAAGGCTAGTGTCCCTCCTCTCAAAGATGCAATGCTAGACGTGAGCAAGCCTT